CAAGTGCCCATTCTCCTCCAGCCCTCCCCCCCAAATCAGATCTAGTCTCAAAATGGAATTATCCCACGGTAAGAACTATCCCTATGCAGCCAGTCTCCTGTCCTACTCCACGTGCCCAAGAGAAGTGTGTCCTTAGGGGCTAGCCCCTCGTCGTCAATCACGAGCCCACAGAAGAAGGGGCCACACTTACAATACAAATGCGCAGGATAAAGGCAACAGTTTGTACGTGGATGGCTGCAGCAAAGCAAAAGGCAGCGCTCAGCAGAGGGCCTGATTCACGTGCTGACATCTGTGCCTGGAAAGGAATCACCCCTTGGTGCAGCTTTAACGCATCCCAGGCTGCATGGGAGCCCCTTATTCCCCTGGGGGCACCAGTCCATTGTGGTTAGGTCACTGCACAGCCCCATTCAGGGAGATTGTCTGACAATGAACTCAGCAGCAATGGTGCCGGACGGGCAGCTGCCCCTGCCCACCATCACCTCCTGCCCTGGTTCCCACCAAACCATTTCCTCAGCCAGGGATCTGTGCCCCATTGCTCTGCCCGCTCCAAGGGCTTCGTGAGGAGCAGCCACAGGGCTCCTGATGGGACCAGGTGCTCTTGACCCCTGAGCTGTTCCTGGCCTTAGGAATATTTTTCCTCTTCCCAAATCCTAGTGATTTCTCCACACGCTTTTTCTGCCTCTCCTACTCCCCAGGGGTGGAGTTATAAACACTCTGCTGTACAGTAGAGCCTCAAAGATACAAACACCAGCGTTACGGACTGACCGGCCAACCAGACACCCTGTGAAACCAGAAGTAACCAATCAGGTAGCAGCAGAGACAAAAAAACCACACATGCAAATACTGTACTGTCCCTATATTGCATCTCAAAGGGAGGCACATCTGGGCTGCCTGTCCAGACCCCACCCCTAGCCCCACACCCCACATGGGGCAGCCACTTACAGCAAGACATTGGGGCTGCCAGTCCAAGGAATCTGGAGCTCTGGTCTGCGCTGCTTTCACCCTTCCCTCTCTCCCCCGCCAGGAGGGGGACATGCTTTTTTAACACACACACCCCAAGAGGGACGTGTTGTTTTCACCCACTCACCCACACTAGGGTTGCCAATTTTCTAATCACACAAAACTAAACACACCTGCCCAGCCCTGCCCCGCCCCTTAGAATCATAGAATATCAGGGTTGGAGGAGACCTCAGGAGATCATCTAGTCCAACCCCCTGCTCAAAGCAGGACGGTGACAAGGTTGGGACTCACCACCCAGCGCCCCCTGCTGGTCGTCCTTGGGAATTAGCTCAGTCCAGTGGAGCGCCCCCTCCTGGTGGTTTCCTGTCTGTCATCTCGCCCTTGGTTGGCATGTGGACCCATGTCGCTCCCAACTTGCAGCATCCTCTTCGAGCCACTGCCCTCTGGCAGTGCCCCTTAGTCCATCCTCGCCCCCTTCCGGGGGCGGAGGGGGTCAATCATCTGTCTCTCTGCACCCCAGCCAATGTGGGCAACTGCACCCCCAAAGTCACACCCCTCTTGGCAGGGGGTTGGTACAGCCCAAGACAACCACTCTTGTGGGTCAGATGTAATGGGGCGGGAGGGGGACACCCAGGCACGCCCACTACTCTGGGCAGGGCCGGCTCCAGGGTGTTGGCCGCCCCAAGCAGCCAAACAAAAAACAAAAAAAGCCGTGATCGCGATCTGCGGTGGCAATTCGGCGGGAGGTCCTTCGCTCCGAGCAGCTGGACGTGCCGCCGCTCTCCAAAGTGGACGCCCCAAGCACCTGCTTGGTAAGCTGGGGCCTGGAGCTGGCCCTGACTCTGGGTCCCAACCCAGGGACCCTCTAGTGGCCACCGTCCTGCCCTCCTTCTCTCCCTCCCTCTGTCCAAGTCCCTGGGCCGCTTCCCCTTCGGCCCCTCACACCAGCTAGGCCCTTCCCCTCAGGGCCTGCAGCCTGGCAGACACCGGGCTGGAGGTCCCTTCTGCTCCCCCGGGCCTGTCCAGCACTAAGCTTTCCCAGGTGCTAGTCTCCCACCTCCAGAGACAGACCTTCCCCTGTCAAAGGCCTGGGACAGACTGCCTGCTTGCTCCCTGAGCAGCCTTTTAATAGGGCTGAGCCTGGCCCTGATTGGCTGTCTCCAATCTGGGCCCTTATTGGCTCCCAATAAGCCCTTTTCTTATTGGCTGTTTGTCTGTGCAGGCCCACTGGCCTGCTGCAGCCCCCTCTAACATGGGGGTGGGGCAGACGCCCCACCATGAGGACCAATTCCCAACTAAATCATCCCGGCCAGGGCTTTGTCAAGCCTGACCTTAAAAACCTCTAAGGAAGGAGATTCCACCGCCTCCCTAGGTAACCCATTCCAGTGCTTCACCACCCTCCTAGTGAAATGGTGTTTCCTAATATACAACCTAGACCTCCCTCACTGCAACTTGAAACCATTACGCCTTGTTCTGTCCTCTGTTACCACAGAGAACAGTCTAGATCCATCGTCTTTGGAGCCCCCTTTCAGCTAGTTGAAAGCAGCTATCAAATCCCCCCTCATTCTTCTCTTCTGCAGACTAAACAATCCCAGTTCCCTCAGCCTCTCCTCATAACTCATGTGCTCCAGACCCCTATCATTTTTGTTGCCCTCCGCTGGACTCTTTCCAATTTTTCCATATCCTCCTTCTAGTGTGGGGCCCAAAACTGGACACAGTATTCCAGATGAGGCCTCATCAATGCCGAATAGAGGGGAATGATCACGTCCCTCGATCTGCTGGCAATGCCCCTACTTATACAGCCCAAAATGTCATTAGCCTTCTTGGCAACAAGGGCACACTGTCGACTCATATCCAGCTTCTCGTCCACTGTAACCCCCAGGTCCTTTTCTGCAGAACTTCTGCTTAGCCATTCGGTCCCTAGTCTGTAGCAGTGCATGGGATTCTTCCGTCCTAAGTGCAGGACTCCGCACTTGTCCTTGTTGAACCTCATCAGATTTCTTTTGGCCCAATCCTCTAATTTGTCTAGGTCCCTCTGTATCCTATCCCTACCCTCCAGCGTATCTATCTCTCCCCCCAGCTTAGTGTCATCTGCAAACTTGCTGAGGGCGCAGTCCACACCATCCTCCAGATCATTAATAAAGATGTTGAACAAAACCGGCCCCGGGACCGACCCTTGGGGCACTCCGCTTGATACCGGCTGCCAACTAGACATGCTGCCATTGAGGTGGTGTGGTCCCCGCCGCCCCGGAGAGGGACGAGTCCCACCGGATGTCAAAGTGGGCGGAGCCAGTGGAGCCTGCGCCCGCCCCCAGAGGTCAAAGCGCGGGACAGGAAGACTAAAAGCCCAAACCCAGAGTTCACAAGGAGCCTGGCCGCCGGAGAAGCCAGATGCCTGTGGCCTAGCTCCCGGTGGGGAGACTCCTGCAGTCTGCAACTGACCCGAGGACTGGCCAGACGCCGACCAGACCCCGGGGAAGTTGTTAAGCCTGTAGCAAGCTATCCAGAGGAGCTGCCAAGCCTACCGCTCGCCGAGTACCCTGAGGAGCCCATGGTGCTTGATTCCGTGGAGGACACTGTCCGGACCCAGGTACCCTATGAGGGGGAGTCCGGAAGTAGCCCGGGGGTAACCGACCCCAATCTGGCTGCAGCACTGCCAGAGCCCATGTCAGTGTGTTGCGGCCAGGACCCCCACTGACGCAGCAGCAGGCTTTTTCCACGTTCTCTGTCACTAGGTTGCCTCCCTCATTCAGTAAGGGGCCCACACTTTCCCTGAACAACTTCTTGTTGCTAACATACCTGTAGAAACCCTTCTTGTTATTCGTAACATCCCTTGCTAGCTGCAACTCCAAGTGTGATTTGGCCTTGGAGAGATAGCTCAGCAGTTTGAGCATTGGTTTACTAAACCCAGAGATATGAGTTCAATCCTGGAGGAGGCCATTCAGAGATCTGGGGCCAAAAAAAAAAAAATCTATTTGGGGATTGGTCCTCCTTTGAGCAGGGGGTTGGATTAGATGACCTCCTGAGGTCCCTTCTAACCCTGATATTCTGATTGCATGCCTGAGCAATATTTTTATACTCCTCCCTGGTCATTTGTCCAATCTTCCACTTCTTTTTTGTGTTTAAGAT